GGGGGGGTATGTGTTTGTAACATGTTATTGTTTAGGTTGGTTTCCATTGGGTCTTAATTTTGTTGTTGTTGTTTTTTTCTCGGTCGTACCGAAGCCAGTTGTAAAATTCTCTACGTCAATAATAACCCGTTAACATGAAATTCAAAATTATGTTTTGTAAACAAAGGTGTAAAAAAATCAGAAACCAAAAGTGAGCGCAACTTTTTTAATAAAGTAGGCCTTACTGGTTTCACAACAGCCTATTATTGAACCGCCGGTGAGGTACAGGCATTTTCTTTGCAAATTCGCGCAAAATGACCTGCACATATATTATAATTCATCATCTATTTTATATTTATGCTTATTACTCTCTGTGCAGATAAAAAAAATGATATGTTGTCATTTGTACAATATTTTGGACAAAAATTGTCTACACAATAGACAGGTTTAATCGGTATCCGAAAATATGATTTGGAAACAGGCCAACGTGTCTATCAAGTGCCTTTTATTTGGGTACTATTTTTTTTTGTGCTTTAATTAATAGGCCAGGCTTTCCGGATGGAGAATGTTATTGAAGGAAGAAAGAGCTCTTCCGTGTCTTGAATACGAAAAGGACGACTTGAAGAAAAGTGAAAGTAGTAGCAGAGACACGTCTCTGGTAGTAAGTAGGCAAGACAGACGACACAAGAAGACGACTAGACGTTCATCAAGGCCTAGATCTACATTGTTCACACGCTGCCCGGTAAATATTGCTGCCAAAAATTATAGAGAGACATTATTATAAGGCGGCGTCAACATGACTGGGAGTGACGATGGTATTCCTCGAGAATTGAAAGAGAAGCTAGCCAAATTTGACACTCATTTGTCCGAATTAGAAGGCAGCCTTTCACACATGTTCTCTTTGACCAGAGCAGAAATTGTTGAAAAGGTAAGTGCTGGTGTAAAGACTTAGACTCATTAGTGACTTAGAATTTTATAGAATAGATGTAGATCTACCATATTTTTATTAGGTCAGGCTGAGTAGGGGGTAAGCCCCCTGAAACCCCCCTATACTTGCCAGGACCAAACAGCACAATTGCTGTGTGGGAACTAAATCTACCGAAGCGTCAATAATAATAATTTAACAATGACATGACCATGAATTCAATCATCGGGAGGAATTCTGTAGTTCTGTAGTGTAGCCTAACTGTAAAGAAAAGAGCGACCAGTTTTACTATGAAAGTCCTGGATAGGGTCACGGCGTTAAAAGGCAGAGCAAAATTTACGTCTCTTCTTTTTTTGTGTTTCATTGGGTAGTTGCCTGTTACGGAAGTCATTGTTCCCAATCATCAATTAATTTTTAGGTTTACCACTCTCAATGAGTGTCACTCTCAATGTTGAATTAGATCTAGATATAGATCTAGATTCTTGGTCTATAAGTTCTAGTTTGGGGGCTTCTGTGGCCTAGATCTAGAGGTTAAGATGTCGGCAGTGGTTATGTTCATAGCGCAGTGAATGTAGTCTGCAGGCTCGTGAACGTAGTTGGGAGGCTACGTTCACGGCGCCCTGAATGCATTTTGCAGGTGCTGTTGAGGCTACGTTCACGGAACTAAGCTTCTTTTAGGGGGAGTGTCCACTGCCGGTTTCAGTCAGTCGGTTTCAGTCAGTGATGCATGGATATTTAGTATGGCCACCTCTATTCTCACCCGGAGTGAGAATAGTGCAAGCGAGTCTTGTGGCAATTCTCACCCGGTTCGCGTTCACCCTAAAC